GCTCCTCTGATGCTGCTTGGCCTGCTGTGTTCATCCAGCTCTACACCTTGTTATCTCAGATTCTCCAGCATCTGCAGTTCCTACTATCCCCAGAACATTACCTGGGTCTTTGGATTAACAGTCCAGCGATAATACCACTAGGCTGTTGCCTGTTAATTTACTTGATAGTAAAAAAAAACAAATTTATTTAAACACTATAGTTTCAATAAAAACTAACAAAAGAGGAATTTAGAATAACTTAACTGTTGGAAAACTTAACTGAATAATAGAAACAGTACAATTACTAATTAACTGTTCCAATATAGTAACATCACATAAGTAAACCCCTTGGCAAAAAAGGCAAATTCAGACACAGATTCTCACATGCAGTTCTCCAATCCAGGAGGAAAAAATATCAAGAGAAAATTCAGAGACAATAACAGTTAGGAGACATCCACTGAAGCTTCCAACTCTTTTGAGACCCCAAAAGCTTTTTATTAAAACGAAACCTAATAACAAAAAAAAAACACTAGAAAGCTCGGTATGTCAGAGCTGGCCATATTCAGACTGCCTCCATTGTTAAAGAACAACGAACAATACAGGCACAGGAACAGGCCCTTCAGCCCTCAAAGTCTGTGCCATTTTACCCTTTAGAACTAAAACTGTCTTCACTTACAGGATCCATATCTCTCTATTCCTTTCTTATTCGTGTATTTGTCCAGGTGCTTCTTGAATGCTGTTATTATATCTACTTCCACCACCTCCTCTGGCAGTGTGTTCCAGGCACCACCTTTTGTGTGAAAAACTTGCCTTGCACATCTTTTTTACTCCCCCATAATCCCAGCACCCCATAATCGTGTCCCCGAGTAATTCCCCCTGGGAAAATGACTCATTCTCTCCACTATGTCTATGCCATTCACAATCTTATAAACTTCTGTCAGCACCCCGCTCAACCTCCTGCATTCCAGTGAAAACAAACTCAGTATATCCATAGAACATAGAACATAGAACATTACAGCACAGTACAGGCCCTTCGGCCCTCGATGTTGCGCCAACTGTGAAACCAATCTGAAGCCCATCTAACCTAAACTATTCCATTATCATCCATATGTTTATCCAATGACCACTTAAATGCCCTTAAAGTGGGCGAGTCTACTACTTTTGCAGGCAGGGTATTCCACACCCTTACTACTCTCTGAGTAAAGAACCTACCTCTGACATCTGTCCTATATCTATCACCCCTCAATTTAAAGCTATGTCCCCTCGTGCTAGCCATCACCATCCGAGGAAAAAGGCTCCCACTGTCCACCCTATCTAATCTATCTAATCCTCTGATCATCCAATTTTTCTTCATAGCTAATCAGCTAAGCCCATCCTCCTAGGCTTTACCTATACTTCCTTTTCCTTTTTGAACAAGGTCATAACATCCTTGACCATCCAAGGTTCACATAATGGCGGCACAGTGGCTCAGTGGTTAGCACTGCTGCCTCACAGCACCAGGAACCTGAGCTTGATTCCACCCTCGGGCAACTGTCTGTGTGGAGTTTGTGCATTCTCTCTGTGTCTGCGTGGGTTCGCTCTGGTTTCCTCCCCCAAAGAGTGGTTTGGCCATGTTAAATTTCCTGCAGTGTTGAGGGATGTGTGGGTTATAGCGGGATAGATCTGGGTGGGATGCCCTGAGGGTTGGTGTGGACTTGTTGGGCCAAAGGACCTGTTTCCACATTGCCTGTTCTGTCCAGTTTATATTAAAAAACCCAAGGCCTCACAAATTGTTTGGTTTCTTAGAGAGACCTTTCCATCTCTGTCTTAAAACGTCTCTTCAAAAAAAGACCAGGACAAAATAACCCTCTAAAGTGACAGCATCATCACAGTCTATAGAGCTAGTGATTTCATCAAGATTTCCTGAAAGGACATGGGGCAGGCTAGCAATGAATTTCTTTGACTTCATAAGGAAGAGTACATTTAGTCTTGGTCAACAATTATTCCAGATCGATTGAAGTGGAAAGACTCAGTCAATTACAGCAGACTGTAATTACCACAGAAAATGATCTTTCCTGAAGGTTTAATGCCATTATCTTAATAACAGTGATATTGGCAATCGTCATGATCATAAAGATGTTAATGATTTCAACGACTATGTAAGTAAGTGGGAGCAAACTACTGGAATAATGTAGACCGAGTTGAGAGGGAGGAAGATGTGGTCTGATGGGATTTGTGTAAATCATGAAACTGACCACACGGCTCTGAAATCAGAATATAATAGTAGATAACTGACAAACCATCAGGGACTCCCTCCCTTACTCAATGAATTTCCTTTTCATTTGGCATGGTCTTAAATTTTAACAATAGCCTACAGTGAATGATCCAATATCGCCCGTTTTAAGCGAACAACAAAAATCAAAAGGTGTCTAAACTGGGAGTCAAACCCACCACAATTGCTATTACGCAGTTTCCATGAAGGAGTAGGCAGACACATGTCTGCAGTGGGCTTGTGAAGATAGAGGTCTTAGACATTATACTGCAGAGCTGTACCTGTGAACCCAACATGTACAAATAAAGCTACATAAAGTAGATAAGGTCTTAGACATTATACTATAGAGCTGTATCTGTGAACCCAGCATGTACAAATAAAGCTATGTAAAGTAGATAAGGTTTTAGACATTATACTATAGAGCTATATCTGTGAACTCAATATGTATAAATAAAGCTACATAAAAGTAGATAAGGATTTGAAGAGCCTGGACGAAGAGTGCACAGCTCAAAGGAAGTATATATGCAGACACCTGCAGACTAGGAAACTCAGCACTGGTGTTACAACATGCATGGAGTGGGATTGACTTAAAGAACAGGATGAGGCATAAGTAGCTTCTGTGAATAAAATGGCTTGGCACAGGGGTAACGTCAAAATTGTTACCACCATTTGATGTTTCTGAACTCTTTCAGAATGAGGAACTTTATACAATCATAGTGGACGCTCTTCACAGAAGGAGGCTAGATGTTCCTCAACCAGCACATGAGAACCATTCTAATAGACTCTCTCTGCCTCTGCTTGATGCCTTCACATCCTTCCTAAAGTGTGGCGCCCATGAAAAAGGAACAGCATGCGTCTCATGGCAATAGGAACTCACATAAGCTATTTAGGAGAGTTCTGCTAAAGGTGCATGTTATGTACCCATCCAGTATTAATTCACTGTCGTCAGCTAAATGAATATTTTTGCTACCCTTCTGTCTTATGCCAGTCCTCAGGAAGCAGTTTCACCAAGCCAGAAAGGGAAAAGCAACCTGTTGCAGTTTTCTACGCTATAATTTTTTCACATTGAATCATGAATGGAATTGGTTAAAACGCAGGTAATCTCCTGACTACATTAATGTACCAGGACTCTGAAACACACTCAATCTTCCTTGGGATAATTTTGATGCAAACCACACAATAGCAATGTGGTGGGTTTGACTTCCAGTTTCGATCCTTCTGATGTTGGATGTTTGCTTAAAATGGGTGTTATTGGATCATTCATTATAGACTAGCGTTAAAAGGAAAGGAAATTGACGGAGTGAAGGAGAGGCTGGTCAGTCTGCTATCTCCTGGGTATGTGTCACTGTCTGTACAAGTTCTGATATAGAGTCACTGAACTCGCAATGTTAACTCTGCTTTCTTCCTACAGATGCTGCCAGACCTGCTGAGTTCTTCTGGCAATTTCTGTTTTTGTTTGTGATTTCTATCAGTTCTTTGTTTTATGTCACTGTAGGTAACTTGGCCAACGCATTGACTACGGACAAACTAAACAAGACCTGACCTTATTTGTTCTCTTCTTGCTATCCAGCTGTATAATTGTTACCCGTCTCTGGGATTTCTGATCCCGGGTCACAGGAAGATTATTGAAAATCGAGATAAGATTATGGAAATCTTCGACGGTTTCTTCAAAGCAGCTGAAGAAACCTTGAGCGAGAACAGCATCCAAACCCTAAATGAGGCCTTAATTATGAGACACCAACAGGTACAGTGACACACCTTTGCAGCGGGAGGGGAACCTCCACAGATCTCAGACTCCACACCTAGGGCGTTAGTTTTGTGACGAGGAACGTTCTGTATTAAACATCTGTTATTGTATCATGCAGTGAAGCTCCTGGGTACTGGATAGATCTACTAATGTGTAGCTTCGAGCACTCACTGTGTCTGATTTTGTTTCTAATCATAGTGCTCATTACATCATGTGGATGCCATTTGTGTCCAGCATATAGCATTGATTTCTTTTGTGTAGACACAGAATGTGAGTGACAGTAGCTGGGCCAGCACTTATTACCCAGAGGGCAGTTAAGAGTCACCCACATTGCTGTGAGTCTGGAGTCACATGGAGACCAGACCAGGTAAGGATGGCAGATTTCCTTCCGTCAAGGACATTAGCGAACCAGATGGGTTTTTATAATAATTGACTGTTGTTACATGGTCACCATTAGACCAGTTATCACTTGCAGATTTTTATTCAAGCTTCCCTGCATCTGCTCTGGTAGGCTTTGAACACATGTGGGACCATGGGTATATTAGCCTAGCATCTCGATGACTATTCCAGTGACATTACGATTACACGTCCCCCAAGGATGTGTGAGTTTCAATCTTGCAAAAGACAACATGAGAGAGAAGTCTTTTCAGAATGTATTTGGTGAGAAGCTTTTACTTATTTTATACATTATTTTCCCTGAATAATGCCCTTCAAATTACACTTGGAAATGTTGTTCAGTGTTTTGGAGCTGTACTCTTCTCATTTTGTCTGGGATATCAATATCTATGAGATGAATGAATTTAAACCTCAGATTCATTAAGACCAGCCCCTCCATTTCTGCTGTGCTGCCAGAATGGATTGAAGCCTAATGGTGAATTCAGACAGGGGAGACAACTTTCCTTTAGAGAATTGGAGGGTGACATAGCAAAGAAGGAGGCCGTTTGGCCCATTGTATCGATTTGTTCATTGGTAGAACTATCCCACTCCCCTATTCTTTTCCACTGGCCCATCACTTGTTTCCCTTCATGTATTTATCCAACCCTCATGAATAAGACCACAGACTGTAAGATGTAGGAGCAGAAGTAGTCCATTCAGCCCATCAAAACTATTCTGTCATTTGATGAGATCATGGCTGATCTGATAATCCTCAATGCCACTTGCCTGACTTTACCTCATAACCCTCGATTCCCTCACTGATTCAAAACCTCTCTATCTCAGCCTTGAATATACTTAACAACCCAGCCTCGATGGCTCTCTGTCCCTTCCTGTCCCAATCTTGCATCATTACCTAAATGTTTACTCTGAATCTGTCTGCACCACATTGCGTTAAGTACCTTGCAAGAAAAATAAACATTCCTTCAGCTCTGGGGGCTTTCTTGGAAATCACATTAAATCTGAGTCCTCTGACCCTCCTCCTGCCAGTTTGACTTTTATTTTTCCAATCAACACCATTCGTGACTTCGGTTCTGTTCAATTTCCTCTTAATCTTCTTGATTCTGAGGGGACTAAAGCCCCCAGCTTCCCGCAATCTCTCCACATTCCTGGGAATTAATACAACACCTAGGAACACATTCATTCGTCTCAATCTGTTCTGCACCAGCTGAAGCCACACCAGGCTTTCTTTTCCTTATATATAGAGGTTTAAGGTAACTTCCTCACATTTGGATTCTCTGCCAATAAAGCCAAAGACTTCATGAAGGGTCTAGGCCCGAAATGTCAGCCTTCCTGCTCCTCTGATGCTGCCTGGCCTGCTCTGTTCATCCAGCTCTACACCTTGTTATCTCGACTTCATATGTTCCTTTTTTTAAAAAAAGGGCTTCTCAATTGGCTCTGCCAACTCCTAAAGTCCAACCCGGTGAGTAGAATTTAATCAACACCATCCTCTCCACCAACATACCCCCCCATCCCCTCAGGAGGTGTCTTCTGGAGGCTGCAGGACATTTGACAACATGGTAGCCCATGCAGCAGAGCTGGGCTCCTGTCAGGTCAAGGTGAGGAGATGGGAGAGCAGTATTCCTGTCCACAGGTTAATTGAATCCCTTCTGAATCCAGGGTTTAGGTGAAGGTCTCTCTCTCCACTACGTCAGGCATCATACTCCTCATGGGCAGGGAACTCAACATCGTGGGGAGACTGTTCAGTCTTTACCCTCCAACTTGTGACTCATGGTTGACAAATGTCAGGAAGGTGTTGTCCTTTACAGTCAGGCACTTTTTTTGCTGTACTTATGTATTCCTATACTTAGTACGTGTGACAAATAAATAAATCTAAATAAATCTAAATGTGACGGCTGACTTGCTGAAAGGTGGTTGACTCTTAACTGTCCTCTGGGCAATTTGGGACGGGCAATAAATGGGCAGCACGGTGGCTCAGTGCTTAGCACTGCTGCCCAAAACAGCACCAGGGATCTGGCTTCCTTCGGTGACTGTGTGGAGTTTACACATTCTCCTCGTGTCTATGTGGGTTTTCTCTGGGTACTCTGGTTTCCTCCCACAGTCCAAAGATGTGCAGGTTAGGTAGATTGGCCATGGGAAATGCAGGATTAAAGGAATGGGGGGTGGGTGGAGGGGGGAAGGGAGGTGTAGTCTGTGTGGGATGATATCTGGAGGATTGGCATAGATTTGATGGGCTAAATGGCCTGGATCTGCACTGTAGGGGTTTGATGATTCTATACCCAGTGATGCCCACATCTTGTGAAAGAACCTCACTTAAAAAAATGAGCTGTGTGCGTTAGTTTGGGGAGCACAGTGTGCAGGAAAGTGCGGTACATTGGAGGATGTTAGGTTAAGTCCCATAAAGGTTGAACTGCACTGCACCTCAATTTAAATAAAAAAGACGAGTTGCGTCTGTAAGAATGACAGAACGGAAAAAGCCGAGTGTAAGCTGATTGTTCTCCAATGTGAAGTGGTTGGTGTTGCGGTAATGTCACCGGGCTGACTGATCCAGAATTCCAGGCTCACATTCCGGGGGAAAATACTGCGGATGCTGTCAATCTGAGAGAAGAACAGAAAGCTCTAGAGAAACTCAGCAGGTTTGGCTGCATCTGTGAGGAGTGAAACAGTGTTAATGTTTGGAGTCTGGTCTGGTTCTTCTTCCAAACTAACATTCCAGGTGACAGTAGCTCTTGGGCAAGACAACCACTGTCCCCAACCACACAGACCCATCCACTCAGATATTTGCCTCGAAAACGTGGCTCCTTCTCCTTTATTCTATTTTGTCTTGAAGGAATTGAGAGGCCAAGATGTGGAAATTCAGAAAACGGACACGCTGATTACAATCATTGACCTGTTTGCTGCCGGCACAGAAACTACTTCCATCACCATCTGCTGGGGACTCCTTCTCATGATGAAATATCCGGATATCCAGAGTAAGGGAATCATTACCGTTGCGTTTGTTAGTTTGGTGTTGGTGCCAAAGCTGTTATCTGATCTTATTGATCAGACTATCGAAGCCAATAGTAAACTAGCCCCCATGGTCAGCGTGAAATTGGTCATCTTAATCAGTAACACCTCAGTTGGTTGGTATCAGGAAGAGCTGATTCATTAGTGAGCCAGAAAGTGACATCTTTCTGAAATTGAGTTGAACCCAAGGTAACTCCTCCAGGCATGACTTTTATTGCAGATTCAGAGATTATACCCAGAGTGACACTCATAACGACACAATATTAATGTCAAAACAATATAGCTTAAGCTACAGATGTATGTCCTGAGCCTCCCCACAAATTCTAGAATCTTCTAACTGAAAGCTTAATGTACTACTCCATTTACTATGTTCGCTCATAAACTCTCGAAAGGTATATAAAACTCTCCAGGAGGTCTCTCTCTAACACTGTGCTTTAAGAAAACTCACCAGAAATGACAGAAATGTTTATAAGTTAATCATCAAACCCCTTCAGACACAAGGAAAATCTATATGCCACTAGTTCAAAATTCAAAAATTCAAATAGACTTTATCACACACCTTACTACACACTCTGACAATTGGAGTTAAGAGTCACGGAGCTCTACAGCACAGAAAAAGGTCCTTTGGCCCATTGAGTCTGTGCTGGCTAAAATCAACCACCCAATTATTCTAATCCCATTTTCTAGCACTTGGCCCACAGCCATATATGCCTGGTGTTACGAGATGTGGCTTTAAGAAGGATTTGTTCTATGATGATTCTTTGAAAGCAAGTGTTATAAACTTAGAGGTCAGCCATCTGCTGTGGGCCAAGCAAGCTTTGCTTTTTTAAAAAAAGTTGGAACAATAGAAGCAGCATGAAGGGGTGGGGTCAAGCTCCCACAGAACCAGGATTTTAGTTAAAGTTTCAGTAACTGTTAGGGTTTGGAAGCTGCTATTCATCTCTGCCTGCTACAGCAAAACACTTGAGTTCTCTCTCAGAGTTTTCTCTTGATTTTCTTTTATCCTGGACTGGCGAATTGCATGTGAGACAAACTATTTTACTGAATTCGCTTTTGCCAAGGGTGTGTTTATGGGATGTTACTATCTTGGAAGAGCTAATCAGTGGTAGTTAGCACATATATTACCTTGTTGAGTAATTCAATAGAGTTACAGTTAAATTAATTTTTGAAGTTCTAATTTTGTCTGTATTTTAACAGGGGTTTAAGAATAAAGTTGGTTTTGCTTCAAGCTTGGTAGCTTGACCAATCGAATTGCATCCAGAACACAATGCCTTACACTTGCCTTTAAAATAGGAAAATGTTGGGGTTTAGGCTATCTTCTTAATATATTTTGAGCGGGTTTGGTCCTGTCTGTAACACTGGGAATCGCAAGTGCACATCTAAATACTTCTTAAATGTTATGAGGGTTTCCACAGAAATATCAGGAATCCAACAGAGATAGTAGGAACTGCAGATGCTGGAGAATCCAAGACAACAAGGTGCAGAGCTGGCTGAACACAGCAGGCCAAGCAGCATCATAGGAGCAGAAAGGCTGATGTTTCGGGCCTAGACCCTTCATCTGATGAAGGGTCTA